ATATATATATTAAAAACGTACAATGTAGGCCACAGGGCCTGTTACAAATTCCCTTCTACAATCACTCTTTTAAGTTCTGCCAACTCTCAGCAAAGATCTCTGGGAACATCATAAAACTACATGTAGATTAAAAAGGAAACTTAATTAATTACAGCGCCTGCCAAGCTACATTCCCCTTATGCTAGAATCACTCTGGTGTTTTATAGATGTTGCAACTCAAAGCCCGTGTAAACGGTCAGTTGGACAGCCAGGAAAGTGCACAGGCGAATTGCACTGGGCAATACTGGCAGTGCAGGAGAGACTAGAACATGGCCTTCCATTTATGAAGCCTGACCCTATTTTGTAAGCTGACTGGCTGTGTATGAAGGGAACGATGTGAGGTCGGTGTTGTTTTTGTATGGAATAATAATGAGAGGAGCTGTGACCGCTACTGCTGATCCTGCATGTGTTCCCAGCATTTGGGAGGTACAATAATGAATAGAACAGGTGTGTGTACGTGGCCATGTCCACTGCCCTTTACCTTGGCAAATGTTTTGCAATTGTTTTATTGTCCGGAATAATCAGGATTCACGCCGTGAAGCGCTGCAGGTCTGAAATCTATTTCTAGAGGCTAACAAATAACACGGAATAAAAGCACAGCTAGACTGTTTAAGAGGCCTGACCCATTTCGAGAGGACTTAACAATGCACATGCTTCCACCGTCTCGCTCTTCCTCCAACCGAACACTGCAGGTCTAATGTACCATGAGTCAAACGTTACAGTCAGGGGAGCTCCAGCCCATTAAGTTAACACAGATTCACGCGTCAAGATAGAAAGCAGAAAACGTTTGTCGAAAGGACCAGACAATGTATAGACCACGACAATGCTACAGAGATTTCTCATCAGAAACACAAGCGACTGCTTTTTTTTGGTGTTAAATGGTGCTGAAATTCATATTTGTGTATATATTGATGCACTTTTTACCCATTGACCAAAGTGCTGTACAAAAAAAAGGTTTTAAAAACCACATACAAGGGAAATCAACCATTAAAAACATAATAAAACCAGATTACATTAAAAAAATAAAAAAAATCTACTTTTGATTACCCTGCCACATCAAATGCTAATGCAAGGAGATATTCTTTTAAAGGGGTGATGAACTGAGAAATCAATTTTTCCTTGAGCTTTTGACATCTAAGAGCTCATTATATTATAAGAATATACTGTAAATTTCAGAACTGAAAACGTCCTTGTTAGTCCAATAAAAGCTTTTATTGACACCAGGCTCAGCAAACGACTCGTTTTTTCAAAGTGGGGAACTATGACATCACCACCCCCGCAGAAGAAGATCAACGCCTACTTCAACACGTCCAGTTTAGCCCCGCCCACGATTCACTCATTACACGCATAGATGACAAACCGGATCGAGCTACCGAGCAATAAATATGCACTGACGAGTGAAATTCATTATAATATGCAAAACTGTTATCCACTCACAGCAGTGGGCGCTTACTTGCAAGTCTTCAGTGCGAGACGCCCATAAAAACTGATCGTTTTTGAGCTAGGCTCAAAACTAGGGTAGAAAATAGCCTATTACTTATTCATTTTGATGTTTTTTTAATGTAAAAACCAAGCGAATGTCATAAGTTGAACTCAGACTACAATATAAAAAAATTTTAAAAGCCAGTTCATGACCCCTTTAACTTAGTTAGTGTGGGTGCCAATCGGAGGTAAAGAAGTAAATCATTTCACAGTAGGAGCCGCAAATGCAAATGCACGATCTCCACTCATTTTTCGTCAGGTCCCAGGAATTATAAAGATCCAACGCATTCTCATCCCAAGGCATCATATACGACGCTTTTACCAAGGCGTAGACATCCAACGCACATGGCACCCTTTAGCATCAATATAACACACACAGAGTATGGGTAGGTTTAGGTCTGGGGTAGGGTTAGGGTTAGACCACTAGGAGGCGCCTTCTGCCCCATATATATCTGCATCTCATATTGAGGCTAAAGGGTGCCATGTGCATTGGATGTCTACGCTTTGGCAAAAGTGTCATATATGACGCCTTGAGAATGGCCTGAAAGATCAGCTGACTTTAAAAACCGCTTCGGCTCATATTTCTTAATTCCACCAAATATGGAGAAGCTAAGCTTTGTAGTGACTCACAGAGAGAAAGACTACATTTTAAAGGCCTTGAAACACGCAGAATTATTCAATGTGTTGACGTAATTTCCACTGAATCAGGAAGACAGGGCGGGACATATAAAACAGATCCTCCCCTTTTTTCAAATAGCCAATTGCATTTAGCTAATATCACAGCTCGGCTAGAGGCGACATGCTAAATTCTCTTGATCTCGAACCGTTTCTCCTCCATATCACTTTAAAATATAGCATTCTGTGCAGAACTCGAATGGGTCCGATACATTTGGTCTCGACAGGATCATGATCCGCTCTGTGCTATCTATCGTGTCTGTGGACCTGTGTGGCGCTACATTGGTTCCTATAACACTATTATGAAACCAGACTTCATTCATCTCATTGGAAAGCATATATACAATGTCTGAATCATTGTAAAAACAGTTACCGTGTGAACAAATGACAGATTTCAGCCGCAGCTGAGAGCATTTGTTTGGACAGAAAATATGAGAAGATGGTTTTATCAAAAGCATTGATTCATATTAACAGAAGTGAGAAAGTTTTGCGTATATCTTCTAAATGCGAATTTTGTCATTGTTTGAGCACACTATAGCTTATAGATAACATATTCATACTAAAAAGATTTCATGGGGACTTTAAAATCAATTCTAGAATAAATCAGCAGTCAATGTAAGGAAGCCAAGACTAAAGTAATAAGGTCTCTCTTATGAGTACCTGTTAAGAGCCTCGTAGGAGCATTTTGTACCTATTGTAAGCAGTTTAGTAATGATTTGTTAATACCCAAGTATTACAGTAGTCGAACCTTGTAAAAACAAAAGCATGAATGCCTTTCTAAATCACATGTGGACACAAATGTAAGATAGCCGTCAAAGAACACCTCCAGATTCCACCCTACTGGCTTGCAAAAGGGGACTAAGCTGCCCGGATCCGAAAAATTAGCTTTCTCCTGCTGCTCCAAACCATATTCTTAAGTTTTATCTTCATTTAAAGAAGCACTATGCAGGATTTCCGTTTTTGTCAAACTGTGACCCCTAGAGTCGCCGTGGAGTACTTGTACTGTCGTAAATAGCACTCACGGCCTGATCCCCTCCCCCTGTATACCGGTGTTCTGACGATTTTTGCTGCCTTGTCGAAAAATGCTACCGTAGCGCGAATTGATCACAGAATGCTGATTAAAGTCGTATGAAATACAATTATAATACAATTCTAAGTTATGAGTAGCTACTGTATACTGTAGACTACTGTTTTTATTTTTAAAACGGTGTGAAAAGTAAAAATTATCATAAAATATCATCTTTGACTTGTCAAAGTACACCTTTCCTCATAGTAACTGAAACTTTCAGTTATTCTTTTTCAGCTGTCTGACCGTACAAATATTCATATGGTAGTAAGCATTTTTTAAAGGGAAATTATACATTATAACAGGAAAATGTACCTTTTGTAAAAAAAAAAAAAAATAAAAAAAAAACAGTCTGCACATGTGCATAACCGGTAAGTAGCAAATCTCGATGGGTAGCATGAATCGTCAGAACACCGGTACCTGTTCAGTAGGATGGAAGCTGTAATGAGCGGAAATAAGGTGTGGCCCCTTTAAGAACTGCGCCCTGTTGAACTGTCGGCAGTATGTATTGTATGCGCCTCGAATGTATATGTATACAACGACAGGTTATTTCTGTTTGCTGCGCATTTTAGCAGATCTTTCTTGCCGTAAAGCAATTTGTTACATCACGAGACCTGATATCACACGAGTCACGACACTTTCTGATGCTGCGGCCGGCAAGTGAGTTGCAAGTGTGTTTTTTTCCCACTCACAGGCAACGGGGGGGGGGTGTGAGACGCCCAAGATTCAACCAAAAATAGTCATATAACCATTGCAATAACTCCAAAGCTATTCAGTTAAGGTAAAAAAAAAAAAAACTGCATAGTGCAGCTTTAACTTTATTATTTATTTAAAAATACCTGCACAAACAATCTTACATGGGCAGAAAAGCAAAATTACACACTAGTCTCTTGTCTGACAAAGTGAACTGTCATTTGGCAAAAGGGTCAGACTATTTTCCTACCAATTTCCAAGTGAAATCACTCTTCAGCAGTGTCGACGCGTGTATCTGAAATGCACTGCGGTCCTTTCCTGGAGAGCAGCATTCCAAGTCATTTGAATATTATTTGAAAGCCAAGTGCCATATTTGAACAGAGACACTTCAAAAAGCTTCTCCGTTTTATTGTAAGACACCAGATCTTTTGGGAGAGCCTTTGATATTCTCATTGAAGCTGTATAGACACCTCTCTCGACTCCAGATGACAATTTCTAAGGAACTTTCAGGAATTCTAAGATATGCGAGTTCCTTTCATCCAATCATCATGTCATGAAGGGTAAAAGCTTAATTGAAGGGTTAAAAAAAAAAAGAAATCAAGCACATGTTAATGCACTTTTGTAGTTTTTTTTTTTTTTTTTTTTTTGCTTTTTGTTTAAGCTCATCCTAAGCTCCTCCAACATGATACAACCTCTATCTCAATTTCAACAAAAAAAAAACAACAATAAAAAAAAACAAGTTTAGTTTCCGGGGAATGATCAAATGCACACGTTAGCGCACAATCATGACTTGCACATTATAACTAGCATAAAACATTAAAATGTTAAATTCACCTGTGTATTTGTCTCTATTTGCACAGATGCTAGCTGTAATATTATGTTTATGTCATGTGTCTATATCTGGTAATCGAATCTCATATTAGATGTTAACCTGTTAGCAAAGCATTTCAGGTTAGGTTGTCATGGTGTTTATGGTTTATTTAAGTGCATGCTGATTAAGCAGTCTAGATAAGAGGACACACTGCAGTAGCCTAAAGTCAATTACCTTAAATAGTCAATCATGGGTTGGCAGAAACTGAAGCAGCAGATCCACCGAGGCTCTGTGTATCGAGTTTGACTTGTTTGAGGTATTGCTTGGGAAAGCAGAAGCGGTGTACTTTAAAGGAACACCAAACAGAACAGCAAATGCATGATGGGAAAACAGACCTGTTGGCACACAAAAGAAGTCTATTAAAGACAGACGCCATTTCACAAGAAGAGATCTGCAGTGCTGGAACATCTCGATGCTGAAAATAACAACCTTTGTATTGTGAACACACATCAAACATTAATAAACCTTCTGACGTCTGAACGAATACAACACAAAAATAACACCATATACAGCAGCATTCACAAATCAAACAATATTGGAAACAAACATAGAAAAATAAAAGTATTTTGAAGATGCGCCTTTAATTTGACACTTTCATCTAAATTATCATTAAATATTTGATTTAACTTAGTTATTTTTCTGTATAAATGTATTTTTTTTTGTAACTGGAAAAATAAAACTTTTTAACTGAAAAAAAAAATATGCATGTTGCGTTTCAACATTTTTTAACACTATACACTGAAAAAAACATTCCCGATATGTCTAAACACTTATAATAGGCTAACCTTAGGGAATCCGGGTAATTAATTTAGTTGTGCATGTCCTAATGAGGATACTAGATTTGCACATTTTAGAGAGCACTGAGATTCAGACTTTTGTCACCTTATTGCATGAGGATCACGTGTGACTTGATTTTTTTTTTTTTTTTACATATTATTTTTTTAAACTTGAGTGTATATTTTTAGTGGTCTAAATTTCCAGAGAGTTCATACACGCACGTATATATTAGAGAAGCTTGGAGGGAAAAATGTTTGTCACATCAACCATGCAAATCAAATCAGAATCCATAAATCTCACTCATGACAACACAGGCTACACACAAGTGCACGCACACACACACACGGACAAAGACGCACAGTCTCCTCTCAGGAGCTATAAATCAAAGCCGAGCTGAAGCAGTACTCCTCCTCCATCTATCTGCATTGTGAAGTTCTTGCCGGCCGTTTGCCCCCACAGCCTTGTCAGCACTTCACTGCGATTCCTCAGACCCACATGTACATTCATTCCCATCACAAAGGCTTATGCCTTATTTATACGCCTGCACAGACGGCACCTTTAGCATCCGAGTGTGGTGTCTAGTTGTAAATTGCTATAACCATGCAACATCACAGAAGCAACTATAGTTATGGAAAGTTGCACCTAAAAGCACTGAGTGTTACTGCAGGGATACGCCACACTTTTTGATCTTCAGTGTATTAGTAAAGCACGTCAGTAGCGGGACTTAGACCTCCCACAAGACTCCCTACATTTTTGCTCTTTGGTTCAAAATGTTTAAGAAAAATTTGCCTTTATTCTATTCTTTCAAAGCACTATATTTCTGAACTGCTGAGGTGCATGATGGTCATGTCACAGGCAACAATAAATACAACACGAGATTATATTAAAAATCTGTGACTATTGCAATTAAAGATTTTGGGATGTGAACATTATTAAAACTTTTTATGGCATTCCGCATTCAAATCTTCACTCAAGTTTTTGAAAAAATGTATACAATACAGCAGATATAAAAAGTCCACACACTCCCTGTTAACTAGGGTTGGGTATCGAGAATCGAGTATCGATTGGAACCGGGACTAACTTTTCGTTTTTCCCGGAATCGTTCAAAAGTTAAAATTTCGATTCCTAGTTTCGATATTCACTGTCCGCCGAGCGGAAGAAGAAACCGCTGGACAACACCAACGAAGAAGCGTCTACCGGAAGTGTTGGCATAACCGCGCCAGTCGAACATGAGTAGCTTACGTCGGCGGTCCAAAGTGTGGCTTCACTTTTCTAAAAATAACGAAATCTTGACAAAATGCTAAATTTGTGACAAAAGGAGTATTTGTGACAGAAGGAGTATTTCCTTCAGAAAGACCATTGGTTAGCAAGGTTAGCTAAACTTTTTTGACCCTGCTTCTTAAAAGAATCGAAATCGAGAATCGTTAGGAACCGGAATCGAAAACAAGGAATCGGAATCAGAATCGTTCAAATTCAAACGATACCCAACCCTACTGTTACCAGCATTTTTTTTAGTGATATGATATTTGTTTAATTTTACAAGGACTTTAACAACCTATGCAATGACACTGAAAACCAAAGTGAACCCACAGATTTTCATAGGATCCAGGTCTGGGCCATTCCACATTTCTCTTTCTTTGACGCCATTCTTTTGTTGGTTTAGGAGGTTTGCGTTTTAGATCATTGTCATGCTTAAAGTTCCCATTTCCAAATTCCAATATATAAATTCTCTACTCTATTTTTAAAGTGTGCAAACTTACAATACAGGAGGGTCACATGTACAGAGAATACACACGTAGGCGGTCATGATTTATTTATTTTTTTTCTTTAGTGTTTAAAATTGCTATTTGAGCATGAAAAAGGTCTGGGAAATTCCAACGCACAAAGTCACTCCACAGTTATTCTCTATAATACCACACGATATTCTAAACTCAATTCGTACACACAAAACAAAAAGGGGCAAGACCTGGTTGAGTTGAGTTAGTGTGCTGAAACTTGCGGTTATAAGAGGCATGATGTTTACGAAACATGCTCAAAGTGGCTGACCAATCACAACTCACTGATCCAGCCAACCGATTCAATTTTGAACATTCAAGCATGAAAATCTATTCTAGAAGACTCCCTGACCAGTTTTCTGTGTCTTAGGTGGGACGCCCTCTTGATAATAGCCTCTTCCACACATAGTCTTTACTGGTAAATTATAGGTAAGAGATCATGTGTGAACGGGACCTTTTAAAAAACACCAGAAAATTGGTTCCGGCCATTTACCAGTAAGGAAAGTTGTCACACTACTGGTAATTTACGGATAATGTGCTCTGTGTGAACGCGGAATGAAAATCACTGGTATGATCACGTCAGGACGTGCTGACGTAAGAAGTCTGCTTTGGGCCAATCAAAATTTTTAATTAGGGTTCCTCCACATTTTCCAGACTCAAATTTCCAGATAGATCCTATTTCAAAAATTCATTTAACACAGCATTATTTCCAGTAAATTATGGAAGCTTGTTTCCACCACAGAATGAAAAATAAAAATAGGTAATTGCAACTTTTTCATCTCACAATTGCGAGTTTAGATCTCGCAACTCTGACTTTATTTTTTAGAACCACGAGATACAAAGTCAGAATTGCATGATATAAAGTCGCAATTGCGTGTTATAAAGTCACAATTGCAAGATATAAATTCACAATTGCGAGATATAGTCAGAATTGATTGATATAAAGTCAAAATTGCGTGTTGTAAAGTCAGAATTGTGAGATAAAAAGTTCTGAGGGGAAAAAAGTAAATTTTTTTCCCCTTAGAATTGGCCTGATAACTCGCAATTGCGAGTTTATATCTCACAATTCTGAGAAAAGATGTCATAATTTCAAGATATAAACTCGCAGTTATAAAGTCAGAATTGCAAGATGTAAACTCTCAATTGTGAGAAAAAAAAAAGTCTTAATCTTTTTTTTCTCCGAATTGCGACTTTATTTCTCAGAATTGCGACTTTATGAGTGCACTGGAGGAGTATAAAAATTATGAGGGAATAAATAAAATGATGTGCAATACATGAAATCCCATGCTGAAATTCAAGCTGTTCAACAGCAATCGATAAAAATCTAGAAATAAATATTTCGAACTCAGCCCTATATAAATATATACGGACAATTGCAATAAAAACATAAAATATTTTAAATTAGAAATATGTTAAACAGATGTTTTTTTTTTTACTTGTGGTCTCAGACTTTATATTGCAGTATTTATTTTATTAATATATTTCCAGGCACAGTAACAGCCAGTTTAATTATGTTGCTCAAATGTCTTTGTTGTTTCTTAGATTAAATCTACAAAAACCACCAGATGGCTCTATTGACTACATCTTTAGATAAGTTTCTTTAAACAGCAGCTGTTTTCAAAAGGTTATGAGAACAACATATGCTCAGGAAGGAAGGAACAAATAAGGATGGTGACGCATACCTATATGATGCTGTTTTGTATTGCAGAAGCAGTCTCTGAAATGATCTTAGAAATTATCTCTAAATCCAGACATAATATAATTAGTCGATCTGACTCTGCACTTAATAAATCAAATTTTCCTGACAACATTATCTAGAAAATACATCATAAAAATTGTTTAAATAATTCATTAACAAGGAAAAGATAAGCAAAATCAATCAGCAGACGGCATCAAACACATGAAAAAAGTAAAAGTCTTCTTTTTTTCTTTCTTTTTTTAGACACTTAAGCATCTTCCCAACTAACCTACCTGGTCTTATTCTGTAACGGTTATAAAGTTAGAAACACTTAAACAGATACAAAGACATCAATTCAATCATAATGTATTAAAATACGAACTTAATCTCGTGTCTATCTTTATGTTCAACTCTATTACACTGACTCAAAAGCAATGTTTAGGAAACCCCTGTATGCCCTATTGGTAGACTTTAAGTGCCATCTAATGGCTAGATATAGACATTGCCAAGAGATATTAAATATTTCTGATGGAATGTTTAAAAGCCAAAAATGTGTAGTCGATCTTGTAAAGACATGATTCGCAGCTAACCCTACCACAATTATATCTACTAAGGATACAACAGCAATCTAGATCTAATCTATTTTTGTATTATTATTATTAAAATGTAATCATGAATGTCACATAAGCTACACAAAAATATGGTTTCATTCCCTACTTTAAATGCCTACATTTCAAAGCATGTGCATTACAGGCTTGTTTAACCCTTAATGGTTTTTGAAACATAGACATTTGATAGACTGAGAGGAAAGATAATGAGTGTTTGATTTGCATCAATTCACCACCTTAATCTCTAGCTAAAAGTAATAGCTCACTTGATACATAGAGATACAGACAGTAAAATGAAAACCAAAGTTTAAAAATATATATTAAATTGTTCTATTTGAGCCCTATAGGCCAATTTATTTTATTTTGTTAACGGTCAATTCAGTATCCTCAAAGGATAATGTTTTTATAAGTGTATATTCATTTTAAAAAATAAATAAATGTAATTTCTGCGGGATTTATGATGCTAACAGTTCAAAGTAAACCCGTCATCACCGTCTGTGAAAAAGTCCATTGTTTTACGCTAAGCAAACAGTGAATAATTTATTATCATGTTCCAGTTTTTTAACATCTGGAATTGAACGTCAAAACCCACCTTACAAACACAACCAAGATAACAGTTGAGTGATAGTTGTGTCGTCTTGCCAAAAGAAGCGTGAATGACACTCAGCTGTTTCAATTTGGAGCTGGGGGGGTGGACAAGTGAACGCCACGTACCTCTTATAGCAAGTGTACTTGCCAAGTTGCCATGGGAACCTTTGACAGACAGAACACATGCCCAATGACAGACCAGCGCTTTAAAATCAAAGGCGGGAGCGCAACGGTTCCTCCAATCACCAAAGCGAGGGGCGTGGCTACATCGTTTCCATTAAGGAACTGTGTTTAGCACATATCAGGTAAAACAAGTTGCAAATGATCTGTCAGTGCGATTACCTGTAAGGCTTGACCGAGACGAAGACAGCTACATCGAGAGAGTGTGTAGATACTACTCTCAGGGGATCTTTTAGGGTAGGTGCTGCTCTCACCTGTTGCGTCTTACACTATCAGCTGCTGTTTTCTATATCACAGCTGATGCTTAGACACGTATGGTGGGGTAATATAGTTTTGTGTTCAAAGAAAAAGAAGTTAAGAAATTTGCACCATTTAGCACCTATTGTTTACAGATATGATTTCAGTCTGAACGCATTTGGGTTTATTTGCTCGTAATTATTGAAAACGATGTCTTGCATGTTAGAGTGACAAGGTTTATCACGTGCCAGTGACGTCACGCTTTGGTTGTAGTAAAGCTCCCTTTAAAAACAAACAAAAAAAAAAAGATAATGACGTTTTTGTTTTATTTTGTATTAATTACAAATTTAGTTTGCATCACTTTACTAAAGATGATGATGATTTGCCGTTAGGGATGACACCTGCTGCTATGGATAGTTACCTAAAACTAAAATTATGTCATCATCAGCCTCACGTTGTTCCAAACGTCTGCTAAACACAAAAGAAGATATTTTGAAGAATATGGGTAACCAAACAGTTGATTTTAAGCCAATGGGATTTATCAACTGTTTGGTTACCGTGTGTGTGTGTGTGTGTGTGGTAGTGGAAAGAATTTCAAACCAGTTTGGAACAACTTGAGAGTAAGTAAATGACAGAAATTTCTTTTCTTTTTTTTACTTGTATGTACACAGCGTGTGTGCGTGTGTGTGTGTGTAGTAATTCAGTCATACATGGGGCCCCTAGGCTGCAGTCTATGTAAGCCTGTGCATTAATCCGCGCCTGTATATATGCACTTATTCTGTCTACTAAGTTATCAACATCAAAAATTACCTGTGACGTTCATGTCCTTTCACAGATGTTGGGACCGTCACACTGCTGCTTGATACTGTGTCTGTGGGCTTGTTTGGATGCACTGCCAGTTGCTGTGGATAAAGCCAAAGTTAACCCTCCCGTAGAGGAACTGGAACCACCGGAAAGTGAAGTAAGTAATATGACTTAAAGGAGTAGTTCACTTTTGAAAACTTTTGCTGATGATTTACTCACCCCCATGCTATCCAAGATGTCCATGTCTTTCTTTCTTCAGTCGAAAAGAAATTAAGGTTTTTGATGAAAACATTCCAGGATTTTTCTCCATTTAATGGACTTCAATGGGAACCAAACGGTTCAAGGTCCAAAAGACACTTTCAGTACAAACTGCAAACTGTTCAAAGAGTTTTAAACTATTCCAGACGATGAATAAGGGTCTTATCGAGCATTTTGTTCATTGAATGAACCAAATGACTCGGAAAAAGATTCGTTCATTTTGATGAACGAGTTCGAACAGGAGAGTCACAAACGTGCGTCACAGAACAGAGCAAGGCGAGCATTTGTGCTTATAAAACCGAAACTTTGCTATTTATTTATTAAATGAGCGATCGTTTCGCTTGATAAGACCCTTATTCATCATTTCTTTTCGACTGAAGAAAGAATGACATGGACATCTTGGATGACAAGGAGGTGAGTAAATTATCAGAAAGTTTTTTCAAAACTTTCATAGTATACAAGTGTTCATACTTATATGAGACATGCTGGTCTATTGTTTGAATGGGTGTGACTCTTTTTGCTGCCAAACTTCAGAAAGGTTTTGTAAGCATGTATAATGTGATGCTTACTGTAAGCAGAGTTCATTATCCTGTGTCTGCCTGATTTAGTGTTCCTGGTCTCCTTTTTACTTCAATGTGTATCTAATTTAAATGAATTTAGGACACTGGATTGCACTATGATCGATATCTCAGAGAGGTTATCGACTTCCTGGAAAATGACCCACATTTCCGAGATAAACTTCACAACACAGATATGGAAGACATCAAGGTATTGCAGCACTTCATTTTCCAATTTGACTTTGCAGAGGTTAAATCAGACCTAAACACCATGTTGCTTACCTCTCACTCCCTATTTGGTGAAAACAGCAAGGGAAGCTGGCTAAAGAGTTGGACTTTGTCAGCCATCACGTGAGAACTAAACTTGATGAGCTAAAGAGGCAAGAAGTGAACAGACTGCGCACCCTAATCAAAGTCAAACAAGACATGAATGGAGAAAAAGGTAGCACAGGAATCTCATTACAAACACGACTGTTTTTGTTATTGTCTTGTAGCATATCGTGAAACGTCCTCCACCGTCTCCTTTCTGTATTTACGGCCGGCAGGCTCGGAGAGCTCAGATATGGGAAGATCTGAGAGTGTCATTCATCAAACTCTCCATATCACGCTTTACTTTATAGACCAGTAACTCTAGCCTGCTGCAAAGACAAGAAACGTATGAAAAATGAGATGCTTTCCATTTCCCTCAAGGTACGACAGTGGACCACCAAGCCCTTCTGAAACAGTTTGAGCATCTGAATCACATGAATCCACACACATTCGAGGTGGAAGACTTGGATCGCCTCATTCAGTCGGTAGGGTCTAAATTAGACTTTCTTTCATTCACTAATCAATGGCGCACATTTGTGCTCGGGGCATAAAATTACATTTTTGGCTGGTGAAAATTTGATGTCAAAATTGTGGCCAGCGAAAAGTTGCTTTTGGTGGCTTAATGTGTCCAAGATTAATTTCTGATAATAGAAAAAAGGGAAAAAGTTGTACAAGTTTATACAGGTGCTAATAAAGTTACTAATCAAGTAGGAAGTGCAATTAAAGTTTACTTGGCAGTTTTGGGTGGAGATCTACACAGTGAGTTCGTCACACGTTCACATTTTCCTTTCTACTTGTTGCCTATTGTTTTGTTAAGGCCACTAATGACCTGGAAAACTTTGACAAGGAGCGACACGAGGAGTTCAAGAAGTACGAGATGATGAAGGAACTCGATCGGAGGGAACATCTTAAAACGCTGGATGAGGAAGCACGCAAAAAAGAGGAGGAACACTACGAAGAGATGAAGAAGAAACATGCAGACCATCCCAAAATCAATCACCCTGTATGCAAAATACACACTTCTTGAACTACTATTATCATCAAATAAGCCAGTTTGTGATATAGCTTAATTCTATTATCATTTTTTAATTCTATTATAAATAGCATTTTCACGAGTGCTACAAGTTTGTTCTATTTAAAGTCACTTAAGACGGAAATTCACCATTTTCTAAATTCATGTTATTGATTTTACAGAGTGGTGCAGGAATGATGTATTTTTGTAGGTCAACCTAGAAATGAGTTTGAATTTTAGCACTTTAGTTCCATCTTCCAAAGTCAATGTTTTTTTTTTTTAATGGGTTTATGGTTAAACGCAAGCTTTAAAATATTTTGACGTTTATTTTGTTGATATAAATACATCAGTTATATCCACTTTTACTTGTGGCATAACGTGACAAAATGAGCCGAACAGGTAAACGCATCCAAACAGCCTCATTACGTTTACAATCTTAACTCGAACTTTCAGAGAAAATGTTTGACTGAAAGAGCTGGCGGAAATTTAGTGACGTGACTTTGTGAAGATTATCATGAAGAATCATAAGCTTTTGTTTGTCAAAGACTATATTTTCTGCAATAATCGAAAAGCCAATGGAAAAATCCTATAGTTTTTTCGTCAAGGGAAACAGGGTTGGCCTACAAAAATGCATCATCCCTGTACCACTTGTATGCAAGACTTCTCCAATCATTTCATCCGCATAAACCCTTCTTTTCTGTTTATCTGTTCAAATCTGCCAATCAAAAAATGATTCATAGAATCAAGACCTGTCCCACTTTTTTCTTTTCTTTAACCCGTTTCACTTTGTCAGAATATGAAAGGAACATTGCATTTTTAAATGTTGGATAATTGGAGGTTTTGAGTAAATGACGTTGATTTGAATCATAAAATCTAACCTTTTAAAGTACGTCATTGATGAGGATTTGTGCTGGATAAATAGGGCAGTCAAGACCAGTTGAAAGAGGTCTGGCAGGAATCTGATGGGTTGGATCCCAATGAGTTTGACCCGAAGACGTTCTTCAACCTGCATGGTGAGATCATTGGGCTTCTCCGTTCTGAACACAGTAGATGATATCACTGCACAACTCTGACATCTGTTTGCTCTCACAGACACTAATGGAGACGGCTACTTCGATGAGCAAGAGCTCGAGGCGCTGTTTACCAAAGAGGTTTCACTTAATAACCTTTCCATTCAGGGCTAACACAATAGTGAATCTTTGAGAATGACGTGGCTTTATGGGATGCTAAATCTGATGTTTGTCTCCACCGTGTTCAGCTAGAGAAGATCTATGATCCCACACGTGAAGAGGATGACATGCAGGAAATGGAGGAGGACAGACTTCGAATGAGAGAGCATGTGATGAACGAGGTGGGAGAATCATAGCTGGGGATTAAATGTGGTAATTATATTATTAAGATGTTTCACTTGTAATTAATTATTATGCATTGTCTGTCCATAGATCGACACTAACAGAGACAGGCTTGTTTCATTAAATGAATTTATTACTGCCACAGACAGGAAAGAATTTCAAGAACCAGGTGGATGGGAGGTAATTTAACATTTTAAGTCAACATGAAATAAAAAAATTATAATTTGTGAACGGTTTCATATGGAGTCTTGTTTCCGCCAACAAATAAAAAAAAAAAATAATTGCCAGATATGAACTCAGAATTGTGAGAGATAGTCGCAATTCTGAGAAATAAAGTCGCAATTCTGAGAAATAAAGTCGCAATTCTGAGA